CGTCTACAAGAAGGGACAGAGCAGACTGTACTTCTTGAGGAAGCTGAAGTCCTTCAACGTTTGCAGCAAGATGCTGCATATCTTCTATACGTCTGTTGTAGAGAGCGCTATCTCTTCTGCCATCATCTGCTGGGGGAGCAGCACCAGAGCAAGTGACTTAAAAAAGATCAACAAGCTTATAAAGAAGGCTGGCTCAGTTCTGGGGACTCCTCTAGAACCTTTGGAGATGATTGTTCAAACAAGGATTCTTCATAAAATGAAGAACATTATAGACAACCCTCAGCATCCTCTTCATCAGACTGTCATACAACAACAAAGTTTCTTCAGTCAGAGGCTTCTTCAGATCCGCTACAAGACACGCTACAAGAGATCCTTCCTGCCCACAGCCATCAGCATCTAGAACAACTCTTTAATGAAACCAGGATGATGAGTTACAACAACATTTAATTTCCCTCTGGGATTAATAAAGTTTTTTTTTTAATTGAATCGAATTGAATTAGCATGACAACTTGAGAAATACGTGAGGTACTGAGTTACATTTCGGTGTGTGGCTACATCGAACTGTAAGGGACGGGAAGTCTGAGATTGTTATCATTGTATGTTCCCATACAATGGCAAAACTAGTTCTCTGCATTTAACTCATCACACCTGAGAGACACCCAGGTGGAGAGTGGGCAGCTATGCAAGTGCCCAGGGAGCAGTTAGGGATTGGGTGTCTTGCTCAAGGACACCATGAGATGTGGGAATGGTGGGGAGTGGAACCACAACTTTTTGGTCCTAAGTTAGCTGCCCTACCTCTACCCCATCCCCCCCCCCCCCCCCCAAGAAAGGTAAGAAAAGTAAGAAAGGTTGCTTTCAAAAATGGGGCTGCCAGGTCAAATTCCAAGATGGCTGCCACCATAAATGCATCCATGTAAATCTTTCGAGCAGGATAACTTGAAAAATGAACAACATGCCAACTTCCATTTTGGTGAGTAGCTACATCTAGGAGTAAGAAAGGTCTAAAGGTATGAAGACATACATGTGCGGGCGTGTGCGTGGGCATGCGTATGTGTCAACTGGCCGCACTGATTGAGGAGACTATGCTTTCTAGTTTTTATATTACTTACAAGTACACAGTGTTTCCTCTAGTTTGCTTGCCTTGGCAGGGCACTCATGGGGAGAGGGTCGGAGATATGTTTGTGTTGCGCACTGTTTGTACCGATAGTTTTCGAGGTGGGGGTGAGGGGTGTTGGAGACGGCTCAGCATGAG